CCCGGCTGCGGCAGCCGCACCGGGAGAAAGCAGCTTTCCTTGCGTGGGCTTCAGGAGCAGCTTCACAGAGCTCAGCCAGCCCGGCCAGGAGGGCCCCAGCCCACAGGGCAGCTGCAGGAGCTGCTGTTGGAAAGACAAGGGGAAAAACTACTGCTGCGTAAGTGCGCTAATGAAAGGACTTCCTGCCTAACGAGCCACCCGGGAAAGGGGCACAAGAGGACACCTGGCTTCTGCCACATGCGTCAGTGTCCCTTGCACGCGACATTGGCTTAGGTACAAAGGGCTGCTCACAAAGCACGAGCGGGGCACCAGAAATTCACCCTCTCCCGCTGTAACCCAGCAGAGGCTTGAGCTGGGACGGGAAATCTGGTGGAAAGGTGCTGTAACAGTGGAAACGGGAGGAGGGCATCCCACAGGGCAGCTGCTCACAGCCCCGCTGCTCTGCAGGAGCTTGGGAAGCGAACCAGCGTCATCGCTGTGACCGGCCAGAGGCACGGAGCAGAGATGCCACAGAAGCCCCATGAGCAGAGACGCGGAGGGAGCCCCACAGCCCCCCAGGGTCAGGACCCGCCGCCCGCTGAGCAGCTCAAACCTGGAGTCGCCATCCCTGGGCAAAGTCCCCGGGCAGGGGCCCGCAGCCTCCCCTCGCAGCAGAGCGCGCAGGGACGCCGTGCTGCAGGGCACGAACAGAGCGCAGAGCCCATCAGCAGCCTGCCGCCACGGGGGGCTGAGGGGGCCGGGATCTGCCCGCGGGCGGGGGGCACCGGCACAGGGGGAGAAGCAGCCGCCTGAGACTGAGTCACCTTGTTCCTGGGGCAGGGACATAACGGAGGGCGTTCGACAGTGGCCTTGGCTGAAGTCAGAGAGCAGCAGGGATGCTAATGAGTACTGCGGAGCTCCGCTGCAGGAGGGCAGGCTGCGGAGCACCCGGGCTGCTGCTTACCCCCCAAGGGAAGCTGAGACCCTGTAATTCAGGAGCAGGACCACCCCACACGCCATGAGCTTCAGGAGCGGGGCCGGAGCCATCTGCCCAGCACCATTGACGTGAACTTTGCCGTCCAGTTTCAGACAGCTAGCCTTCAGCATAGCTGGGCAGCACTCCTGGTAACAGGCAGCCTTCATCCCACCGGCACAGACTGGTTTGGCAGCCTTGCAGGCTCTGCTACATCCCGCCACGTAATTCAAGCCAGTCTTCTTCATCTGGAAGGAGGAGAGAGACATTAGCCTGGGGGTCCTGCCAAACCGTTAGTATTCACATTACAGGAACACGCGGGCTCCTGGGCACATCCCAGCTCCCGCGCTGTCCTGCTCTTTAGCCCCAAGGCCATACCTCACAGAAGTCATGCCCGACAATGCATCTAGCAACGGTCTTCTTGCCTTTGAAACATCCGTCCCCATGGCAGGAGAAGGCTGCACACACTTTCCCCTACAAGAGAGGGCCAGAGGAGACACTGTGTATTCATCGGTCTGGAGACCAGGACAGCCCTTCTTTACTGAGGGCTCCTTTCTAAATCCGCCTCTCTTCTTGGTATTTGGGCAGTGCTGTCTCAGGCATTTTAGATAGATAAAAGACTGTGAGCACCATGTCTGAAACTGCAGGAAACTTTAGTGAAATGCCAGCATAGCAAACAAGTTTCAAATCTCCTTTTCCTTCCTCTCAGCAGGGGTCTGCAAAGATAAGCACCTTCCCCTCCACGCAGGCTGAGGGGAAAGGCTGCGGTGCCCCATCCGTCCCCGTGCCCTCCCTGCCACGCGAGGAAGGGTCACCACGCAGTCGGTTCAAACTGCTTGAACCGATGTAAGTGCTGGGCTTATGAAAAGGCCTGTTTGTCAGGGCTCGTTACGGACTCTTTCCTTTCAAAGCTCATTAAGGACTTGTTCCCCTTCCAGAGGCAGCTTTTGACACTAAAGCAGGTGCAGGAGGGACCCTTCCCTCTCCCCGGCTCA